GTATTTAAATTTCAGCGTCGTCTAAAGGCGATTACCTCGCCTTCTCCTGCTCTAATGCATCCATTGAGGTCTTTGCTTTCTGACATGGCTTTTTGCTCCTGTGTAATATGGCCTTCTTCACCTCGTTCGTCATTTATTTCCGGCGAGGCCGAACCTCATGACTGAATGTCATCAGGTCCTAAGTAGAAGTAAGTATTTAATTCTCGTCGAAAATTCATTTTGAGTGTATCCCACTGAAATCTGAACTTTGAACTTCTAGATCAAGCAGTGATTGTAGAGGAAAAAAATTTTCTCCTCTATTTCCAGGCTTCCGCTTTCGACACAGAAGTCACCCTCAGGGTACTTCACAGAAATGCTTGGCCAGGGAGTGCAAAGTTTGCCATGCATTTCAGAAGTGCCTAGTTCAGATCCCTTGTGTGTGTAGAATTTCTCTTGGAATATGGAAACCATATTTCTTATAGTGGCATGACATGGTCTGCCATGAATTTTAAGCCGTCTCTGATTTGTTGGATATCGGTATCGGCCTATATGGTGTGACTAGATATAACGCGATGAAGTATTATAGTTGTGGAGATCTTTCACAATTTAATCAACGGTTCATAAAAGAACATTTGGCAAAAACATTTATGAATTACTTTCATTATGGATTCGTGCCGGAAGTCTACGCGGACAGTAAAGTAAAGGAAAAAAATTTCTCTTGCTCCTGATGCCATAGTCTTGTCCAAAAGTTGCAAGTTTACTGAGTAATAAGATACAGGGCTTGCACCTTCCGCTGGTTTTCACGTTAAATAAGCAGCTAATATGTGCGTCAACGCGTACCGACGCCTCGCATCCTTCAGCATGCACTCGTTCTTATCGTCCATCCTGGTGTGAGGTGCTTCCCCCGTTTTTTACAAGTTTAACGATTTGCTACCCGTTTCTCAGCTGGCTGTTTCGAAGCAAACGTGGGATAAATTCCTTGCTCGAGGGAATTTGCGGTTAGATGAGGATTATCCGTCCGGCACCTCTGACGTTCGAGGCCGACCTCGTAGCCACTGTGCCACAGCGGCCCGAACGTTCGGGGGGGGGAGGGAAGGGGTATTCATTTAATTCTCATTTGCTCACGCTCTTTAGCTCCTCACCAGTGCCTCCCTGTGCAACGTATTATCTTTCGCGTAATCAGTCTCTGTTCTTTTCCTCATTTTATTACTATCAAAGACCACCCATGTGCAAGCGTACTAGCATAAAATCAATCATCTTATTATGTAGTTCTTGGTCGCTTTCAGTTGTTTGACGGACCGGTGTCGGCTTTTCGTTCGTTTCCATGTCACTAGGGTTGTTTTTTGGTCCCCTTTCGTCTTTCACTAGCTTCTCTAGCTTTCAACATACTTCTGAATGAAAGTCTTGGAGAGACATTTATTTTGCCATAAAATTGCCTTCAAGAGGAACACCATTTGGATGAGGTTCATGAAAAATCTATTGCCTTGAAGGTCGGTATCACACTTACATGTGTCCCCCTTCATGGTCTCCTTTCGCCATTCGACGGCAGTCTCTGTAAGGCAGCCTGATTCGCGGTTGTGATCGATCACAGTCCATATCTCGTGTAGTTAACGACTGCGCAGGGAGTCGACTGGAAAGGGGGTTGTTAACCCTGAACCAAGTTTTAGATGATGCTGTGAATTGGTTTGATTGTTTGTGCATTCGATAAGTAAGTAAGAAAGGGAAAGGAAAGTATGTAGCACTTCCCTTAGACTTTCATAACTCGATGCCATCTGTGCACTCCTCTCTTTTCGTGACACTTGAATTGCGGCGTAATCTGTGGTGCTCTGCCATCAGTCGGCATTGTCATGTTGTTCTTTTTCTTCAAGGCTATGTCTGATGTTTCGTGACCACCATGGCGTGTAATCTCGTGATTCTTCCCCATAAAGTCACTC